GAATTATGCTCACCTCTAATTTCAGTTATATAAACTCTCTTTTTAAAAGGCTTCATAACTGATGAATTTTAAAGTTCCAAATGGTGACAACGGACTGAACGGTGCGAGATAAGCATATTAAGAGGTGTGGTGCAGTTCTAATGCGGTGTGTACCAGAGAAACGCACCATGCGGAATGAAAGTGTTTGGTGCTGGATAAGTAGTGCGAGACAATTTTGAATGGCGACAATTAAAAATATAGTGCGGATATAATAGTAATCAAATTTAAACTATATTTTTAATGTTGTTCGGATTACCAAATATTTTTTTGATCAAATAAATCTATATCAAACACATAAGTGATTTTACCCCAAAAAATTCAGATTTTTATAAACTTAAAAAAAAATTAATAATTGAAAACACACCTATTAATACATAAACCACACTTTTATTGGTATTATTGAAATGTACCTGCGTTCTAAACAAATGAAACCAACTTATAGAGATTTAAATATTTTAATATTAAGTGTTTTTCCCTTCCCACACTTTGTAAAATAACGTGAATGCATGCTTTTTATTGGAACGTCTCGTCCTAGTTCCCAAACCGCTGCACATTCATAACTTAAATATATGCTGATACAAACAAGATTTTAGGGATCCCACTAATCATTTTCACTGAAAAGTTTATGCTAGTAGATATCTTTGATTGGAGATCCACAAATACAACATAGATCGATGCACATGTGATCAATGCAGATATCTCGAAATTTTTATTGCCTTTATAGATCATGCACTTATGTGATGTGAGATTGATTGCGATTAATTGATGCTAAATTGATTCCAAATATTGTGAAATATGACTTAATTGGTTCAAATGAACGACATCTTGGTGGGATTTCTCTGATCTGGGCTATCAGATCAATATACGAAGAATCATAATTACATTGATGGCCATGATTTTGAAGAAATTTTGAAGTTTGCCTAAACAAAGGGTTGTGACTGCTTTGGGAGACTCACAATCTATATCTAATTCAATTTTCGTGTGTGGCTAATCCAATTTTCTTTCTTACATTCTTCTTCGAATTTGTGTCGAGAATTTCATTTCTCTCTCATAGTTTTCTAACTTTGTGGTATTTATGTTTGAGTGAATATATGAGTTTCTTTGAGAAGATGGTTGTTGCCGACCAGAAAAAGGAAAAAGATGAATCCATTGAGAATTCCAGCTTTTGGTAACACTGAGTTTCCACATAATTGATCTATGCTAGTGGATCGAATCCTCATTGTAGGAGCCTATAAAAATTGGGACAAAGCATTAATAGGTCTTATGCCATTGGTTTGGTTATGTGAGGGACATGTTCAAGGTGGTGACATGGGTCGAGGAAAGTTTCATTTCCGTTTTGATAACGAAGCAGACTTGCAAGCGGTATTAGAGAAACACACTTACCATTTTAACTAGTGGATAAATGTCATTGAGAGAAGGAAACCTAGTGTTCGCGATGATTTTCCATTAACTATTCTATTTTGATCAAAATAATAATCATTCCAATGCATTATTTGGATGAAGAAACAATGAAGAGTGAGAGCGAGAAATTAAGAGAGCTTGTCGTCTGGGATGTACATGAGGAAGCAGTTTCTATAAGTATAAAATGTGAGTTACCTCTAAGGTTCAGAGGGAATTATAGTTTGATAATGAAGATTTATTTATCGTAAGATTCAAGTATGAGAAGTAGCAGAGATTTTGCGCTTGATGTTTTTGTTTATTTACAATGAGAAGTGATGAGGTCATCAGACCAAACATTTATCATGATCACGTACCGAGGTCAAAGGATCCCCAATGACATGTTCTGAGCCTAGGAGGCTAAGAGAAGAAGTCAACATGAAGTAAGAGATCATCTTAAACACAATGGAACTTTGAGCCACATTCTTAAACACTTCAGAAAGTGAATAACATTAAAAAGGTCAGATGCACCCGGTTTAAACCTTGGAAGTTTTTGCACGTTTAAGCATCAAAGAACTAAGCCTAAAGCCAGAAACATGTTTACTTGGCAAGAAATAGAGCTCTGAATATCAAAAATCTCACTGAAATCACTTCGAATTTTCAAGATATCGTGAGAACAAGCTAATCGACTAATAGAGAATAAATGGAGTAAGAAAAAGATTCTAAAGTTAACCATGTGGAAACACTTAAAGATCTCAACCATTCAACTTCAAAGGACTTCAAGAGGAAGAATTCATCAAAGTAATGAAGTTGAACATACTAGTGTCGTCCTTGAACACGTCAGCTT